TCCAAGTGTAGGCAGAGAACCTTCGGCTATTCACACTCTCCAAGTGTAGGAAGAGAACCTTCGACTGTTCACACTCCTTGAGTGTTGGTAGAGAATCGGATCTTCTTGAAAAATCTTCTCATGAGAAATCTAGAAGGATAAGAGAAAAAAGTGAAGAAAATATAAAATGCAAAAAGAGATCCTTACCCTTGAGTAACCAAGTGAACCCTTCACGCTCCTATAGTAAGAAATCTCCTTTAAACACTCACTCTCACTCTCTTCTTCAAATTCCCTTTTGTATGCACGAAGATCAAAATGTCAAAAAGATTGTAAGATAGCTTTAAGTGGACCTTTTATAGAAAAGCCCCAAAAAATTGTCCAAAAATTGCTATTTCTTAAATCTATATGTTTATGGTCGTTCGTACGATCTCATTTCATACGTATGAATAGTGTAAACACTGTTGCATTACAAACTACATGTGAATTAGTACGAACTATCTTCGTACCTGATAATCATCCTGTGCGAACTAAGTTTGTCCGATATGAATCGTTATTCCCAAGGTTTGTTGGTATGAAAATGTAGGATGGACTACAAGTTCAATGAATAGAGGACATCATCCTGTGAACGAATTGGTAACATCGTTTGGATGAATAGTTCGAAAGCACAAGTACAAAGGACTTCATCCTGGGATGAATGGGTTAAATCATCTGGATGAATAGTTCAAAGCACAAGTCCAGAGGACATCATCCCAGGATGGTAGGGTTAAATCGTCTAGATGAATAGGTTAAATCACAAGTCCAGAGGACATCATCTTGGGATGAAAGGGTAAATTCGTTTGGACGAATATTTCAAAGCACAAGTCCAGAGGACATCATCTTGGGATGAAAGGATAAATTCGTCTGGATGAATAGTTCAAAGCACAATTCTAGAGGACATCGTCCTGGGACAAAAGGGTAAATTTGTCTGGATGAATAGTTCAAAGCACAAGTCCAAAGGATATCATCCTAAGATGAAAGGGTAAATTCGTCTAGATGAATAGTTCGAAGCACAAGTCCAGAGGTCATCGTCCTGGGATGAAAAGGTAAATTCGTACAATACGATCAGTTTTAAAAATTATGAATTTTAACTCTCCCCCATTGTGTGTGTGTGTGCGCGCTAAGTTACTCAATTTACAATCACACTCTCTCATACTCAAATAAAATGAAAAATACAGACTCTAGTTTTAAAAAACATTCTAAGCAGATCTTGATTTGAAGTCTTCAATAATCGGGAGTATGACTACCCTTAAATGTTAGTACACACAGGAGAAAATACAAATATTCTATAATGTGTTAGGAAAAAACAATAATATTTGGAATCATAAAAAACATACAAGTTGTAAGAGTGTAAAATATGTAAATCTACATAGCAACTCTCTCAACAATATTTGCATGAAATATACATATATTTATTTTTTGATATGAATACCCACAAAATAACACAAGTGCACGAGTCAATCAAGTAATAGGAGCGATATAAGAGAGTGTCCATCTCACGAGAAAGTGTTCAACTACAATGCCAATGTGCTAATACTATTTATTTGAGCTATATGTTTATCCTACACAACGAATGATAGTTTTAGATTCTATCATGCCTAACAAATAAAGAAGAAAGATAAGATATCAGTAGGTAAAGTGTTTTGGACTAATGATAGCGATTTTCTAAATCTTTCCTTTGTAGGCTCTCCTATTTTGGTTATGAATTAGATCATAAGCATCATTCGAACTCCATTTAGCTTGTAAGGAAGAGGAAGGTTTATAGTTCTTCTATAGTTATTATCTTTTCATAGACTCTAAAACACTAAACATCATATATAGGTATGTAAGAGTTCCATTTTAATACTCCTAATTTTCTAATATTCCTCTATCGAGGTAATATATCACACTATATTTTAACTCTACACATGATCATTCCATATATTAAATTAAGAACAAGAGTTATTAAAAATATATATTAATTCATTAAAGCACAAGAGTCTATATTAGTAATCACCAAGGCTTCACATCATTATCCCAAAACTATTAGTTTAGCTAGACATTAAATTAAAATAAAACAACACATATTTCATTATTTTCTCCATAAAGAAAGTACAAGGAGAAAAGTGTAAATAAATATCACCCGGATAGTGCAACATCACTCTCCACACTCATTCCTTCTTTTAATTGTTTTCTTTCTTACAACAAGGTAGGCCAACCACTCCAATTGCTATATCCTTCTCTCCTATGGTCTCCCTAAAATTTGACTTTAAGGTGACATTGCAATTAAACACTCTAAATTTTCCTAAAATGATAAAATCTCTAAAGTGATAGAATCTTTCCACAAAAAGATAAAAAAATTATTTATGTTAATTACATAAATGACCAAGTGTCGTGGCGCTTGATATGGTGGCCCCGCGACATAATAATATAAACTAGCGCCTTAGCGCTGCTAAGTAGGCTCCACTCTGGTGCTGGACTGATCTAACACAACTATTGGCTGAACTGGTGCGTTATTTGGCTGATTGAGAGTGTCTCAACATTTTGTCAACTACTCCATCATGACCCTGCAAAAGTTGAGTGTTGTAGTGTTATGAAGCTCTACAACACTGATAGTCTTAGTGTTGCGACACTGGTTAAACTCTTGTGATTTTTTCTCTTTTTTGAGTCATTCCTACAATACAAATAAAATAATATTTTTTTATGGAAATTTAAGATAATAAAATATTACATAATTTTCACTTAACAATTTCCCCCTAGCTTAAGCTCTTGCTTGTCCTCAAGTAATGGTGTCTCTTTTTTCCTCGAGAAATGATGTAATCACATATTGATCAACTCATTAGCTCAAATAAAGATTTGGTAATTTAAAATTAAATAATTTGTAAGACAAAACACTACCGTTTAGATGTAAATTGGAATGATCAAAGTGTTATAATTCTAATTTGAAAAATCATAATTAAAGATCCTTCTTAATATTCAAATTAAACTTATTTAATATAAGTGTAAGTGCATTGTTGACGAATTATTTTAGAGTTGAATAATATTTCATCTAGAATTTTTTTTTATAGTTAAATTAGAAATTCATTTGGAACACTTCATATGTATTAGCTAGTTTACTTGCACTCATCTATTTGATATAAGTATTAGAGTTCTTTAGGAACGTTGCTACATTAGATACCAATTTTTGTTGAAGTGCTCATTTTTCTTTTACTCTCTATCTCTCTCTCTCTCTCTATTCTTGTTTTTCATGAGTTTCTCTTTTTACAAAAATATTTGAGTACAGTTGTAATAATTTTGAATATCATATTAACTTCTTCATTTAAGAAACCTTAAATTGAATTAATATAAGGATTATTATAAGCTTACTAATTTCATAGTAGAGTTTTGAATGATTTTCATAATTTAATCTACGTACTCCTTTTTTGTAAACTTAATTATTCAATCTAAAAATATTAATCGCTATTAAGTGCTTAGTATTTGAAGTTCAAGATAAGATATTTACTCATATGCTTAATTTAGTTGATTATTATGAATTTCAAATTAAGAATAATTTTCTTTTGTTCATTCAATTTAGCACCTAGGATATAAATTATTCTTAATTTAAAATAATTTTTAATTTGATTAATTAATCTATCAAAGTGGAAGCGCTATGGAAAGGACAATCTCAATATATAAGAAAAGTAGCAGCTTTATTGGGAAACAGATAATGTGCAAACTTAAAACCTAGTGTGACTTATATCCTCAATGGAGGTGTTGTAACCTATGGTTTTGAGGAAGTGGCCTTCGTAGCCTTGTGGTTTGTTCTTGCGTACATGTTTTGAAGGATGGCAGGAAGGAGAGGCTGGCGATCTTCTCCTTGCTTCGGTAGGGGTAGTGATGGTAGGAAGGCTTTTAGGACAGGGAACTATTGGAAGGTATTGGAAGGCAAGAGTTTTGGGGCATGTGAACAAGTATTCCAGGACGTCCAAGCTGTTGGGTTCGACCATTTAGCGACAAAAACTTCATTTGAGGAGATCGAGTTGCTTTCTTTGGATGATGACCAGTTATGCAGGTTTGCTATGGAGTCCGTTTGGAACTTTTCTTCTGTTCATAATTTATTGGACTGCTTTGTCTACGATAATACGTCAGTTTGCATCGTTCAACATACTTCGATATCATGTGTGGATGCTATGAATCAATCAATGTCAGATTGTATTATTGATTCTGGTGTCATTTGCGTGAATCTCTTGGATGATAGATTGGATTCCTGTAGGGTTAATTCCACCATTGTTTCAATTCAAGAGCCCCTTGTTATAGAAATTTGTACATCAACTGTTTGTTATAATCCTTCTAAGACTAATTCTCTTAACCAAGGAGCAATTGGTTCAAATTTTCTTCCTCTTTCAAGCAAACAAAATTCTCCTAAGCAGTTTAGGGATTTTAGTTACTGAAGCCCAAGCCATTTTTCTTGGAGGAAGCCCTCTAATACTCCTTTAGACAAGATCTTCAAAAAGGAGGTTCTTGATGAGGATGGAATTTCCTTGACCCTTAACTTTGATAAAGTTCATGAAAATATTTCTAAATCGGAATGTGCTCTAGTTGGGAAACTTGATGGCAAGCAAATATCTTTTGCTTGACTCCATGGTGAACTATCAAAGCGTTGGTCTCATGTCGGGGAGTTTCAAGTGATCACTATTTCTTATATTTATTTTATTTATATTTTTCAAAGCCCTGATGCTTATGATACCATCCTCAGGGGCGATCCTTGGATTGTGGACGGAAGGATTATTAGCCTTGATCGGTGGTCGTGTTTCTTTATATTGAGGATATAAAGGGGTTTGTCACACCAATTTGGGTCCAGTTTCCTCGATTTCCTCTAATGTATTGGGATCCTTCCAATATTGTTTGCATTGCTGCTATGATTGGTGAACCTCTTTAGATGGATGGACAATCTTCATCTTGGGCTCAAAGTTATTTTGCTCGAGTATGTGTTCGCATTGATTTAAGATAGAAACTCTCCATATGTTTTTGGATTAAAGTCCTTAATGGAAGGTTTTTTCAAAGTTGAGTATGAGTGCCTCTATCATCTTTATTTCCATTGTGGAATTATTGTACATAAAGTGGAGTTTTTCCATTGCAAGGTTAAGTTGTAGCCTAAGAGCCATGTTGACAGTACTCTTCAATCCACAATTATGGATATGCAGAATCCAACTAGTCCTCTGCATACTTAGCTATCCCATCCTCTACCTTCCCAACCTTCATTCGAGGACAAATCGAGAACTTGGAACATTATATATCGAAGGAAAAAGCCTAAGAAAAAAGTCCATCTTTCTGCAAATCCTTCTAAAGGACATGAAATGAGATGCAACTTTCCTATATTAGCTTCTTCTATCCTAAAGCATATTGTTTCCACTGTTCTAAAATCTTAGCAACAAAATATCTCTAACAATAACCTGAATCTCTCCAAGCATATACATAGTGTGTCTCATGTTCACCTTAAAAAATAACTAAAGTAGGTTGGGCTTGTCACCATTTCCCTAAGAAAGAGGAAGAATGCAACTCATTAGACCTTGGGTGCAAATTTGGGCCCCTCAAATGACCACTGTTGAGTTCTTCTTGGGTCTTTTGTACTGGTTGTTGCACTCAATTGATAACTCTCTGGGCCCTTTCCAAAGTGATATTTTATTTTTCTTATTGGTGCCATCTACAATACCTTGGGGGATCTTTCATGTTCAAATGAGGGATTTTCTTTCTTTGCTCTTTCTATTTTGGTTATTCATTTCAAAATTTTTCTTTGTCTGCCAACCCTTGAAAGTTTGTGAAGTTTGTTAAAGCTTATAGAATTAGTCCCAAGGCTAACCACCGGGGGGGGGGGGAATTATTTATTTTAAAAACTCCTTCAAACAAAAAGAAAAATCCCCTTTTTAAAGCTTTTTCAACATGTAAAAATAGACAATTTTATCCCTCGATGTGGAAGAAATGTAATTTCATAATAATAAAAAATAAAGATTTTTCAACCACATAATTAATATAAGAAAATGCAAAAAATAAAGTGTGAAAAATTAAACCAATAACAAACACACCGGAGATTTATAGTAGTTCAGAAACCTGACATTTTGCATTAAAGTCTTTAGTGATTCTCCATAGCCCCCACAGCTAGGTGAATAAACCGTTATAAAATCCTTTTTTTAAAGATTTTTCAACATATGAAAGTAAATAATTTTATCTCTCAATATGGAAACAAAGTAATTTCATAATAATAAAAAAATATTGATTTTCAACCAGAGAATTTCCTTAAAAAATAAATGTGGAAAATAAAGTGTAGAAAATAAAACCAAGAATAAGCACACTAGGGATTTATAGTGGTTCGATCATCCTGACCTACGTCCATTCCATAGAACCTCCCATTCCAGGTATTTCACTGAACTCTTTAGTGACTCTTTTTTAGCCCCTACAGCTAGGCAAAGAATCCCTTACAAAATCTTTTCACTAACCCGGTGCAGCAGATGACCATACTCTTTGCACAAGTAGAGAACCTTAACTCCTTTTCACCCTCCTGGTGAGACATAGAACTTGGACTCCTTTTCACCCTCCTAATCAGGAAAAAGAACCTTGAGTCACTTTCACCTTCCCCTATGTGATGGAGTAACCAGGTCCTTTGACACTAAAGTGATCTTCTTCTCTTCCCAAAAATTTCCTCAAGAAAACCTTGAATATGATGGTACTAAGATGCAAGCTTATCAGAGAAACCTTGTGAAACCCCATCCATACTCCCTTGATCCCCATAAGGATCTTCTCCCTCTCAAACTCCACCCTTTCCTCTCTCCCGTTCAAGGCTCTCTCTCCAAGTTTTCTCCAAAAGAATGGGTGTTGCAAATCTAGATTCAAGGAATATAATTTTGATGATAATAAACATTATTGGCATTCCTATTTCTCTACTATTGTTACTACTGCATATTTGTTTTGGTTTCCCTATCTACTAATTTTTTAGGTCCACAAGGTTAATTTTAATTCAAGCTAGCTCAGGATTGGGTAGATTAGGACTAAGTCAGTTTGTAAATTTAATTCCAGTGATTTTTACTCTTTCTTGTGTCAAATGTAATAAGTTGGATCCTAATGCTAAGTAACCTTGCACACACACACACACTTAGGGGGAGAAATTCTATAAGTTTAAGAAATTTTTTATTTTGATCATATAATACGTGATGATCTAAAATTATCCTGGATTATTAGTTAAAAAATAGAAACCCTAATTAGGGCATTTGTGTTAAGCCTAGATTAAGTAAATCATCCTAGACGATATTCACATCATCCTGGATGATAGGCTCACATAAAAAATACTTATCTGCCAAACTCTTTTTGGTATGATATTATTTTTAGAAATTATACAAGATGATCACATATCATCCTTGATGATTTATTACAATCATGCCTAAATTAGTCAGGTGATTAAGGAAAGTAATTAAGATTAGATTGATCGATCATTTTATTCTGGATGATCATAGGATCATCCTGGATGATCATAGGATCATCCTGGATGATCATAGGATCATCCTGGATGATCAGTTAGAAAGCCTTAATCTTCTCTTAGATCTGCTAGTCATCCCGAACTATCTGCTAGATGATCAATTATAATTTTTCATCATCTAGATATTTATGTTGGATGACCAGAATTGTGTGCTAGATGATTATTACTTATTTTGAACTAATTATAGAGGATCATTAATTATAATTATTCATCATCTAGATGTTCTCTATTGGATGATCAGAACTATATGCTGGATGATATGTATGATCTTGAACTAATTATACAGGATGATATCCTCATTGTCCTGGATGATCAAAATAAATAATGCGTTCTAATCATCCTGCACACCCAAATCATCCATCTGGAAGGGTTGAAATACACTGATCATATAGGGACAATCCTTGATAATAAGTTGTAAATTAGGAAAATTTTTAAGCACTTCTTTATAAGATCTCTTGAATATTATTAAGAGTATCTTTTGCTACTTTCCTGACCTGAGAAAGCTTAGAGAAGGAGAGAGAGAGAGCTTGGGAGGACGAGAGAGAATCTTCTGAGGGGAAGTTTGTGAAGTGTTCACAAAGCTTGCTCCAAGCAAGGATTCGAGTCTTCTTCACCATTCATCATCCTTAGCTTCTTGGTGGCTCTAGGAAGGTCTTCATCAACAATCAATTAAGTTTATGTTCTAACTTAGTTTTCATAACTATGCTTTTATATCATTTGTGTTTTTTGATTCTATAATATTATTGTATTAGCATTTATTTCTCCTAACATATATTAAAAATATTGATTTTATTATTTGTGTGTACTAATATTTCAGGGAAATCATACTCCAGACTACTAAAGACCTCAAGTCAGATTAGATTAAGGTTTATTTTTTTTGGAGTATATACTTTTCTTGAGTCTGAGAGAGTGTGATTGTAATTGAGTTACCGTACACACACACACACTAGAGGAGTGTACAAATTTATAACTTTTTAAAACTAAACATACTATATTATTTTATATTGTACGGGATGATTTGACTTAAGCATACCTCCAAAAAGAAGTTAATCAAACCATGCCAGGAAAATTTTCCAAGTCCTGTTTGTATTGTATACAGTTAGCTTCATACGTACGCCTTCTAGAGTAGACAATAGATACTTATAAGTTCATCCCGAGAAACTCCTAATTTTTTCTAAACTGTTCATACTGTATGATCATAGGTTCGTACAAATGATGTCTAGAGTACGAAATGAATGCATATCTTTTTGTCCGGATGAACAGGTAAATTTTTGAACTATTTGTATTATATAATCATAGTATCGTAAAAATGACTTCCAGAGTGCAAAATGGTTGAGGCCATTTTCATACCAAATGAAACATGGTTTCATTAAAATAATTCGTACTGTATAATATGGATTCCATACAATACGTTATTTAGAGTATGAAATCTTTTTGTATTGAAACATATCAGATGAATCTATTCAATTTTGAACTAATCGTATTATACGATATAAGTTCATACCTAGGTCAATCATAGTACAAAATCAATTCATACTGGATCGTACGAGGAAATTTTTAACTATTTGTACATATGATCGTCGATCATACTATACGATCGGGGATGGTCAAATTGAAAAATTTTAGTTTTTTGGATATTTTTTTCATATCTTTATATATAAGGTCTTATAAACTCACTGTGGATGAAATCCTTCTTTTTTTTTTTTTGAGAGTAAGTGTGAGAGTTATTTGGGAGAGTGTTTGAGAGAGAGTCCTTACAAGTTGAGAGTGTGAATGATTTACAAGGTTACTCAATGGTGAGAATCTCTTTGTATTTATGGCAAATCTCTTCCTTACTTCTTTGAAGATGCTCTAGAGAAGATCTTTGAAGAAGATCTGATTATCTACCAATACTTAGAGAGCGTGAAATGATGACGGTACTCTACTAACACTTGAAGAGTGTGAAAGGATAATGGTACTCTATCGACACTTGGAGGGTGTGAAAAGATGACGGTACTCTACCGACACTTGGAGGGTATGAAAGGATGATGGTACTCTACCATATTAGGGGTTGGTGAAAGAGAGGGTAATTTTAAAGGATTCTCCACCTTACTGTAGGAGCAAAAAGAGAGTCACTTTGGTAATAATGCAATACCTAAAGAGGGAGACTTTAGCGAGTGGAGGTAGTTCTAGTTGTACCGAACCACTATAAATTTTCCATTTCTTATTTTACGATATTTTTACTTTTTTATGTATTTAAATTTTTGTGATTAAAAATTTTTAAATTGATAAAAAAATTTCTTTGTACACAATAAAAAATTAGAAACTATTTTATATAAAAATTTCTAAGATATTTTTTAAAATAATGAATTCACCCCCTCTTGGTTAGCATTGGGATAACTGCATTAGGTCTAGCAAGCTATACAGACTTTTAGTGGTATCATAGCCTTCTTTCAAAAATTAAGATTTATACAAGTTTTTGAAAATGATCATGGCTACGTTTAAAAACCATAACACACCTGAAGGGTATTCAATCACTAGACCCCCATTATTTGATAATATCTCTTTCAATTTTTGA